TGGTGCCGACGGATCCCGCCTGAGGTATTGAAGCACGGCAGACCTGCGTTGTTGACTGCGCTGCAGCACTTGGTGCAACGTGTATGGATTGAATAGGAGGTGCCGCCTGAGCTGAAGGATGCCCTTTTGCTACCACTGTACAAGGGTAAAGGGAGCAAGCAATGTGGCACGAATTATCGTGGCATCAACTTGTTGAGTTGTATGGGCAAGGTGATTGTCCGAATCCTGCTGAACAGCCTCGTCAGTCAGATTGTGGAACCGAACGTGGCTTTCCGTTCGTGGATTCCGTTCGGGTCGAAGCACTATAGATATGGTGTTTGCGGCTCATCAGTTGCAGGAGAAGTGCAGAGAGCGACATCAACAATTGTACTCGCTTTTTGTTGATTTCACCGAGGCATTTGATACGGTGAAGCGCAAAGCATTGTGGCTGGTGTTGGGTAAGTTTGGTTGCCCGCGTAATTTTGTAAGTTTAATTGAATGTGTTCACAGTGACTTGCGAGCGAGGGTGCAGCTGAGTGGAAAGACCTCGGAGGAATTTGCTGTTGTCTCTGGTATGAAGCAAGGCTGTGTCTTTGCTCCTGCTCTGTTTAATATACATCTTAATGCAAAGTTGTCCTGTGCTTTTGATGGCGCCTTTGCTTACGGTGTTCGTGTGGAGCACCGTATTGATGGTGGGTTGCTGAATATCCGTCGTTTCTTGCGAGAACACTAGTCTGTTAGATGACTATCCGTATGTTGCTGTTTGCTGACGACTGTGCATTGTTTTCACACAGCGCGGATGAGTTGCAGCATTTGATTAGTGCTCTGGCTTCGACAGCGACCAAATTCGGGCTCACCATCAACACAAGCAAAACTTTATGTTTCTTTCAGCCTTCACAGGAGGTGCAATCTTCAAAATCGCCTCGAATCAGCGTTGGTGTTGTGGTAATATAAACCACCTCCCGCTTCTGCTACCTTGGGAGTGTGATGTCGACTGATCAGCAGATACACAGTGAGCTGCGTATCCGCGTGTCGAAGACAGCGGCGGCATTCGGGAAGCTAAAGTACGGAGTGTGGAACAACCATCAGCTTACCATTGGCACGAAGCTGATGGTGTACAAATCCATGGTGCTGTCCGTTCTTCTATACGGTAGTGAAACATGGACGGTGTACCGGCGGGATGCGCGATGTATCGAGCGGTTCCATCAGCAGTGCTTGCGACGGATTTTGCGCATCGGTTGGGGCGACAGAATCGCAGACACGGAGGTGTTGCGACAAAGTGGAATGTATGCAGTGTGCTGCATATTTTTGCTGAGACACCTGAGATGGCTCGATCATGTGGGCCGAATGGATTCAACGCGGATACCGAAACAACTCTTATACGGTCAGCTGAGTATAGGGAAGCGGCACGTGGGGAAACCAAAGTTACGTTACCAGGACATGATCAAAGTGAGCCTCTCAAGTTCTACTCTTGAGTGCAGATCATGGGAATCGAAGGTGCTTGATCGGCGTGCATGGTGCGATCTGATCACGAAGGCATTTCCTGAGGTGCAGGAGAAAGCCCTCATGCATGCCGAGAAGAACCGGCGAGTACGGAAGCGGCAAGCACCGATGGGTTGTACATCATCGCCATCGAGCGCATGGTGTTGTAGCTCATGTGGTCGCGAGTGCATGAATCAGGCAGGCCTAGTGAGGCATAAGCGAGGCCACTAGGGACCACTACCAAAGCGACGACGGGTCCTGCAGAGAACGTAGGCAGAACCGGCGCAGCGTTTGTAGGCACGTTGCATTCGATTTACTAACCGCGTGCTTGCATGCCAAGTCTATTTATTTCAGGTGGTGGGTTTTCCATTTTGTCCCAATGATTTTCTTTCTCTTATAAATGTCTACCTGTACTCTCTTCTCTAAACCTGCACACGTCGTTTAAGCCAATTGTAGTTAATTTCGATAAGATTTTCGTGTTTGTGGCATTTCCGTAAAGTATACTTTCTGACCTCGTGAACTTATCTCGGATCCTTTGTTAACAACTTATTTCATATGCTCATTAATTTAAGATTTTTGTCATGTTTCCTTGTGCATTACTCGATTTCTTTTCTTTGTTAGTTTTCTCTCAAGTGGTTGGCTGTTGCTTGATATCCCCAGTGTGGCTGCGCTTGATGTGCATGTTGACATGGTGCCTACCTGTCTATTACCCACTACCTCGTCCATCTGGCTCCAGGAGACAGTTAGTCGTTGCTGAAGGGGACGGAATGCAAGGTTCTTTTGGCCGTGTTTGTATCAAAGAGTGGTTCCCTTCATTCAGTGTGGAGCGGACTACGGTCCAGCCACCGCCTTGTGTGCGCTTGATTCCCCAAATACAGTATACTTGTGTTTGACTGTGAAGGAGTGTGGGCCGGCTCCGTTGATGAAACGTAGCTTCCATCCACATGCCTCCCGGTGTTATTCCTACGGGTTTACACTGTATATGGGGTGTGTGGTTGGAGCTGTGGGTGGTGCAGCGCAAGCCAACCATGATCCCCTTTTAGGCGCAGGCGTCCTCTGGATGGCCACAGTGACAGGCAAATCCGAAACCGGATGCCGCCAACCAATATATACATATACATATATATATATATAATCCTCTGGCAATGCGAGGCACGCCTATGTAGGCATGATCATGTTAAAGGTACAACTAAATGTCAGGGAAGGTATAAAATATGATGCAAATTAGCCATGTACATTGGAGCTGCGTGTTCATACCTGTATGTGGGTGCAGATGTGTCTATCGGCTATACGAAATTGAATATTTGCCACTGCATTTGCGAGTGATCGCGTGGACCGTGTGAGAAGGGTTTATTGACGTCCGTGGTAGGGTGTGGTTGGTTGGGTAATCATGTGCCAGTGACTTTATTTGGAGGCGAGTCACATCCGCCCCGTCGCAGTGCTGTTAAACAGACATTAGTGGCTTTTTATAGGGAGAACGCCTGCCAAGCGAAAACCCACCACCTCCTGGAGCCCTGTCGCTAAACATTTGCTGGAACGGAGTAGACCCGAACCACCCAGCTGATGTCACGCGGAAGTCATATGTCCGTTGTCGATTGAGCAACCTGAGATTGCTGACAAGCCATAAGTGAGTGATTGGACAATTGACAGGCGGGACCACAGGTTAGGTAGTTATGGATTGATTCAGGTATGTTTCCGTGATCATTTGTTTTGAAGGCTTTTTTCTAGGCAGGCCATGGCTGATACAATCCCTTGGAAAAGGGTATTCAGATCCAATTGACCGATGTTACTAGGGAGTGAGTGTGTTGGAGGCCTGATGTGGTCCACTTTTGTCTTTATAGGTTCATTTGGTCGCAGATATATAATATATATATATATATATATATATATATATATATATAATAACCAGTTTATAACATAGACAGAGGAATCGTGAACTCCAAGCAGTGCTTCAGCTAGGCTCAAGTGCACAAATTTGCGCAATTTAAATTAGCAAACTGCAAGTCCAGTCTTACTCGATAAGGGTTTTAAACAGCATCCAACAAGCGCTTATGAGTTTCAGTTCAACACTGTAGAGCAGCAACAGAATAATTTACGTTTTCCTCGCAGTGAACCCCGCTCGGCATCTAGGCAAGTCTGCTCAGACAACTTGCCTTGTAGCATGTTTCCGCCCGATAATTTATTTTAATTTTACACTGATGTTGCCTATCAAACTATTCATATCGGCAGACGTTCGATAGATGACCCAGACATATTTTGATTTTATCATATTCACCTCAACCATCCTACGGGACGTGTCAAGGACTTGCTTTTATCCCGTAATAAATCATTGTTCATTGTAAATCATTGTTCATTGTTCATAAGTGAGTGATTGGACAATTGACAGGCGGGACGACAGGTTAGGTAGTTATGGATTGATTCAGGTATGTTTCCGTGATCATTTGTTTTGAAGGCTTTTTTCTAGGCAGGCCATGGCTGATACAATCCCTTGGAAAAGGGTATTCAGATCCAATTGACCGATGTTACTAGGGCGTGAGTGTGTTGGAGGCCTGATGTGGTCCACTTTTGTCTTTATAGGTTCATTCGGTCGCAGATATATATATATATATATATATATATATATATATATATAATCACCAGTTTATAACATAGACATAGGAATCGTGAACTCCAAGCAGTGCTTCAGCTAGGCTCAAGTGCACAAATTTGCGCAATTTAAATTAGCAAACTGCAAATCCAGTCTTACAAGATAAGGTTTTTAAACAGCATCCAACAAGCACTTATAGGTTTTCGTTCAACACTGTGTGGCGCAGCAACAGAATACTTGTACGTTTTCCCCGCAGTGCACCCCACTCGGCATCTAGGCAAGTCTGCATTCTGTTAGGGAGCTGGCTACTTAACCCGCAGTTTCATGAATTATGTTAGTTGCCTATTTCTTTGTTTGCGCGGTTACCTGCTTCTCTGCCACATTTTGGACACGCCGCTTTCCTCAGCCTCATTCGCAATCGCTCACAGCTAATTTCAGCCGTCTCATTCTGTGGACATTCTGATTGGTTTCTTTTGCTCAGCGTTCCTTAGCTTTTTCACGTGGATGTATTATTCAGCCGACACATATTTACTATACCTGTTTTTATTTTCCTGGTGTGCATCATTCTCACTATCAACTGTTCTGGCATTTGTTTAAACACATCACTTCTCCACACTGATTGGACGCTACTCGTCGTTTTTAATGGTCGCTCACCTGAAGGTTACCCCCAGGGATTAACTCCGCAGACACTATTTTCTTTGCCGCACTTCACTGGCTCGTAATTTTCGCGATTCTCATTTGCTTGTTCCATTTTGTGTTTTCTCCATGCCTGTTGGATCTCATGCGTTTAGTAGCTTGGATTCGCCCTTGTTTGTAAAGCTATGTAACTGGTGCTGTGCCGTACCAGAAAATCTGTTCATCCCGGCTCATCTTGGACTTCTTCTTGCGGTCGTGAGGTGAAGGCGTACTGGGCGTCACAACATATTCTTCTGGCGACGAGAAGTGGTGAACCATGTCGGTTTCGTTCGAGCAATTGCAGACTTTACTTCAACAGCAACAATTGCAATTTGAGAAATTGCAAAGGCAGCTGATCGAATTGCTCCCACAGAAATTGAATCTTCAGACAGAACCACCGACGACGACGATTGCACGATCATCAGTGGACGCCCTTACTGCATCAATCACAGAATTTATGTTCGATGGATTGGGTGGTGTTACCTTCGATTCATGGTTTAAGAAGTATGAGGGTATTTTTCTATTGGAGTTTGCTGACCAAGATGATGTCTGGAAAGTTCGGTTGTTGTTGAGAAAACTTGGAGCAGTGGAACATGAACGCTACACAAATTTCGTGTTGCCGAAAAACGCAAGGGACTTCACCTTTGATGAGACCGTGAGAACTTTGACGCAGATCTTCAGTGAGCAAGCCTCTTTGTTCAGCCTTCGGTACAATTGTTTGAAGTTGGTCAAACGCGATGTTCATGACTTTGTCACTCATGCTGGGATTGTGAACCGCGAATGTGAACGATTCAAACTGGGCACGATGACTGCGGATCAATTCAAGAGTTTTTTGTGTGCAGTCTCCAGTCCCACGCTGATGCCGATTTTCGCACACGAATTTTACACAAGCTTGAACAGGAACCACAACTGACGTTGCAGGATATCACTACAGAATGCCAGCGGCTGATTAATTTGAAGCACGATACAAAAATGGTTGAAACTGCTGATCACAAAACTGAACGCCAAATTTGTCTTACAGCTATCCGACGTAAAGGAATGAATCGAACTGGGTCAACTCAGAAGCCCCGGCCGCATGCTGGAATTGTGGCGCCTGGCATTTTGTGAGAGATTGCACATATAAAACGCAACAATGTCAGAAGTGCAGACGGATTGGCCATAAGGAAACCCAATGCCGAGTTGTGAGCAATTTCAGCCGTTCTTTTCCCCAAAATATGCGCGTAAATCCCAATTTTCACGTACAGGCCGCAAAGATAATCCTCACCGCCTTTCGCACAGGACTTGCACGCAAGAGAAAGTACGTTTCAGTAAAAGTCAATGGTGTTCCTATCACGTTGCAGCTGGATACAGCGTCCGACATTACAATAATCCCGAGATCAGTCTGGAAGAGGCTTGGGAGACCAGCATTCAAACGCACAACCCTGACGGCTAAAAATGCATCTGGGGGACCACTGAGATTAGATGGTGAGATTGAGTGCGAAGTCAGCTTCAATGGCGTGAATCTTCGTGGCACGATTTTTTTGGTTACGAGCAGTGACGTAAATCTGCTCGGCATCGATTGGATCGAGAAGCTGCATCTATTCGACGTACCATTGAGTCACATTTGCTCTGAGAATAATGTCGCGGTGCTTCATACAGCCGTAACGAATCAGCCGGGTCAAAGTATTGCAGAACTGCTTCAATCGAAGTATGCATGTGTATTTCAATCAGAGCTTGGACATTGCACGAAAATGCAGGCAAAGCTTACCCAGCTTCCTAAGGCAAAGCCAGTGTTCCGACCCAGACGTCTAGTCCCTCACGCATCCCAAGCACTCGTGGAGCATGAGCTTGATCGATTACAGCAGGCCGGAGTGATCGAGCAAGTCAATTTCTCACAATGGGCGGCGCCTATGTTGTGATCAGAAAACCGAATGGCTCAGTTCGTTTGTGTACAGGTTTTTCAACCGGCTTAAATGCTGCATTAGAACCCCATCAATACCCGCTTCCACTCCCAGACGACGTGTTTGCAAAGCTGAATGGAGGCAAGTACTTTACTACTCTGGATCTGGCAGACGCTTTTTTGCAACTGCAGGTCGAACCGGAAAGCAGAAAGCTTCTAAAAATCAACACGCATCGCGGACTTTACCAGTATAATCGTTTGCCATTTGGAGTAAAAACTGCACCTGCAATCTTTCAACAAGTTATGGACGCTATGTTGACTGGCTCGATGGGAGCAGCAGGCTATCTAGATGATATCATCATAATGTGCGGAACCCAGGAGGAATTGTTTCAAAGGTTGGATGACGTGATGATGAGAATTAAGGAATATGGATTCCGGTTGCTAGCTGACAAATGCAAATTTTTCCTGAAATCCATCAAGTTCCTGGGTTTCGTGATTGACGAGAACGGTCGACGGCCTGATCTTGAAAATATCGAGGCCATAGACAGATTACCGGCACCAACGGATGTCACAACCTTGCGCTCATTCCTTGGGATGGTGAGTCATTATAGTGAGTTCCTACCTTGCATGCATCGATTACGTCATCCTTTAAACCATTTGTTGATGAAAGATGTTGAATGGAACTGGTCCGCACAGTGTCAAGAAGCTTTTGACAAACTCAAATCTCTGCTGAAATCAGATTTGCTCCTTACGCATTACAATCCGAAGCAGGAGATTGTCGTGGCTACTGATGCCTCGAGTTATGGAATTGGTGCTGTCATCTCACATCGCTTTCCAGACGGGTCCGAAAAGGCTGTGGCACATGTGGCACATGCAGCACGAGCGCTGACCGCATCTGAAAAGAACTACAGTCAAATTGAGAAGGAGGCGTTGGCCATCATCTTTGCCGTACAGAGATTTCACAAGATGATATATGACAGAAGATTCACGCTGGTGACTGATCACAAACCGCATTTGGCAATCTTTGGATCTAAGAAAGGCATTCCGACATATACAGCCACTCGACTTCAGCGCTGGGCAACTCTGCTCCTGGGGTATGATTATGGCATGCGGTATTTGTCCACTGATTCTATTGGACAAGCGGACGCCCTGTCCAGACTGATCAATACCGGTAGACGCGATCAAGAAGACGCAGTCATTGCATCCATTGCAGCCGAATCGGACGTCAGCTACATGATACAAGACGCAGTGTGTAACTTGCCAGTGAATGGTTTAATGGTTGCGCAAGCCACTAAACAGGACGCTGTGCTACAAGAAGTATTAACCTATACAAGAAGTGGATGGCCAAAGAAGTGTCCGAACGAAGCTTTGATCCAGTTCTTCACAAGGCGAGGCGCATTGTCGGAAGTTGATTCCTGTCTGTTTTTCGCAGATCGCATAGTCATTCCAGAAGTGCTCAGACAGCGCATACTAAGAGAGCTGCACAAGGACCATCCAGGAATCGCCCGCATGAATTCACTCGCTCGCAGCTACGTCTTTTGGCCGATGATGGACAGCCGAATTGAGGATGTCGGTCGATCTTGTTCCAGATGCATCAGTGCATCCAAACTGCCGGTGCGTGTGCCATTGCAATCTTGGCAGAATCCAGAATCTCCCTGGTCGCGCATACATGTTGATTTCGCAGGACCGGTCGAGGGTGTGGAATTTCTTGTGATGATTGACGCGTACAGTAAGTGGCCGGAAGTGATCCGGATGAAAACTACGTCCTCAAACAGCACGATCTCGGAAATGAGACATGTATTCAGTCAGCATGGCTTACCAAAAACCGCTATTGCTGACAACGGATCGCAGTTTACTTTCTATCAAATCGCCGAGTTTTCCGCACAAAATGGAATCGAGCACGTGAGGACAGCACCATATTATCCACAGTCAAATGGCCAAGCGGAAAGATTTGTCGATACCCTGAAAAGAGCACTTTTGAAGTCAAAAGGCGAGGGAACGTTGGACGAAAGATTGGAGCGGTTCCTACTGAGTTATCGAGTGACACCAAATCCCAATGCACCCGATGGGAAGTCACCAGCTGAAGTCCTGATGGGTCGCAGATTGAGAACTACATTGGATTTGCTGACACCCAGGCGTCCTCTCCTACAAACAAGGAACTTAGCAATGGAGCAGCAATACAACAGGCGGTAGGGAGCACGGAGAAGGATGTTCAGAGTTGGCGAATTTGTATCTTCAGCGGCTATTCAGGGACGGCGGATCAGCTGGATACCAGGACGCATCGTGCGACGTCGGGGACGGGTGATGTACGATGTTCAAGTTGGTGCGCAGGTATGGAGACATCACGCAAATCAGCTGAAACTACGGTGTACACTGGAAGGTGATGTTCAGAATGCCAACAGATTTGATGTTAATGAGTTGCTTGACAATGGCAAACCAAGTGCTTCCTCACTCCGAGAATTTCAACCACGGGATTGCCCGGAACAAGAAAGTCGGAACAGACCTCAACGAACAAGAAAATTTGTACAGCCGTTTCAAGTGGACCCACGTCGGAAAAGCTATGTTCCGTGCAGGTAACTAACTTTTTAGAAGGGGGAGATGTTAGGGAGCTGGCTACTTAACCCGCAGTTTCATGAATTATGTTAGTTGCCTATTTCTTTGTTTGCGCGGTTACCTGCTTCTCTGCCACATTTTGGACACGCCGCTTTCCTCAGCCTCATTCGCAATCGCTCACAGCTAATTTCAGCCGTCTCATTCTGTGGACATTCTGATTGGTTTCTTTTGCTCAGCGTTCCTTAGCTTTTTCACGTGGATGTATTATTCAGCCGACACATATTTACTATACCTGTTTTTATTTTCCTGGTGTGCATCATTCTCACTATCAACTGTTCTGGCATTTGTTTAAACACATCACTTCTCCACACTGATTGGACGCTACTCGTCGTTTTTAATGGTCGCTCACCTGAAGGTTACCCCCAGGGATTAACTCCGCAGACACTATTTTCTTTGCCGCACTTCACTGGCTCGTAATTTCGCGATTCTCATTTGCTTGTTCCATTTTGTGTTTTCTCCATGCCTGTTGGATCTCATGCGTTTAGTAGCTTGGATTCGCCCTTGTTTGTAAAGCTATGTAACTGGTGCTGTGCCGTACCAGAAAATCTGTTCATCCCGGCTCATCTTGGACTTCTTCTTGCGGTCGTGAGGTGAAGGCGTACTGGGTGTCACAACACATTCCCATCAAACAAATTGACAGCCGGAGATCAATATACCAATTCACGTAGATCCGTTTGCTGCATCACCTTGGGATTGAGGCTCAGACACAGTCGCAAAACTGCCGAAATGGCAGCGAATGCATAGAAATATCGCCTCTTGTGCATTGTTTGACCTTGGCCTCAGTGTGGACAACTCGCGGATTTGACTCGACGTGCTTACGTAGTTGCTTGCACCTAAGCAACAAGCTACATTCACAGAATTGTAGATCACAACGAAATGTACTCCTTGACCATGAAGAGGCAGGCCTAAAGCTTCGGCATTGAACGTCACTTATGGCGTATTAAGCTGTGTTGACATGTGCGATTTGAAACAGAAGCCCCAACTCTTGTAAATTATTACATCCTTATTGTGCTCCCATTCATGTTCAGCGAGATAAAGTAACATAATAATACGTCCACTTCCGTTTGGTTTTGCACCCAGGGTACGGCTATTTCACTGGTCAACCGTATAGCTATGTGGGCGCAGTAGTGCAACAGACTGAAACAGGTCTTAGAGCAAGCCGCCACTGTGAAAGATGTCCAACCGGAATCAAACCAGTCGGTGTCGTGAACTCGAGACTCAAAATAAGGCTCCATTTCAGGATAGAGTGGTCAGGCTGAAGATGAAAGCAACGATACAGAGTCAGCAGCACCGATACTAGCGGCTGCTCCTATAGATGCGTTTGTAGCACACGCTTCATTAGAGCCACGTGCCCCATCGAATACTGTTGGAGGATCGGCATCATATTAGTCCGTTGTTGCCACCCATCTGACAGAGATATTGTCCATGGTAGCTTCGTTCGCTACCAAATTTGGCGCAGTTACTGTTGCCAGTACCATAACGGGACCGAAGACGCCATCTGTTTTCCAACAGGGGTAAGCAGCCACACCTCTACAAAAAGAGAACACCAGACAACATCATAATTCTCTGATTGTTCTAGTTTGCCAGAATCCGAGGCAAACTCCAATAAAGACTAGCTGCTACAAGACGAGCAACAGTGGGACTCTGTGTCAAGTAATAGGGGTCAAAACTAAGCCGGCCGGTAGGATGTGTCTCATCCGTTACCCAAACTCAGTACACTGCTGTGAACTGCGGTTACTCCAAGCAACACTTCAGTCAAGAGATGAGGCATAGGCAGTTCTGTTATCAGCTACTAGTCTCCGTATCATCCCATCCACTGTTCGTATTTTTTCAGCCGTCCCTTAGAGCAGACGTAAGTAACAAAAATATCCGGATAGCTTCCATAAAATAACGTAAAATCGATTCTTGGGTACGGTGTCTCTGACTTTCAGATTTCAAGCGCGCTAGGAGAAGGAGCACTTGGCTGGTATGAACGGCGCTTCATCCGTGGAATACTCTCGCTCTAAAACGAAATCGCCAATTCAACATCAACGATACCGTTATCACTATAAAGGGAGTGGTCTGCGAGGTATGAAAGTAACACTGCGAGGCAACCTGATGACAGAATGGTCCATCGAAATGTGGCATGTAAAGCGCAGAATACCGCCATCCGCAATATGTATAAAGCCTATAGATGCCTAGCCACTGATAGACAAGGTGGCACTGAACAAATAGGTCACATTTGCAACTCAGTCACCATGCAGCTCAGAAACGGAACACTGTCGAAGGAGTGCCATGTTATCAGCAACCTGCTGACACTGAGCAATCTACACACCAACCCGAAATGCCCTTGCGGCTTTTGTCGGGGGTTAACGAAAATACGGTTAGAAGCCGACCGCACAAGGGTCAGCATAAAACCTCGCTCGAAAGACGCAACTGCAGACACGATTTCAACATCTGTCGTCCTCACATGACTATATACAAACGCACAAGGCTTTTCCAGTAACTTAGCAGAGTTTCGTACTCCTCGGCTTTCTACTCCTTGGGATATGGTCATGGTACCCAAAACACGGTTTAATACTGAGATTACCGATGCTGGGATAGCTCTACTCTGCATGATTCCCCTACGAAACGATCGACCCAGCAGAGGAGGCGGTGTATTATTTTATTACCGAGCTGGCCTGCATATCGATATTATGGTCGATCCAGAAACCTAAGCTGCTTATTCTGTTTGGGGCGGTCTACGCCTGAAACGTGGTGATGTGGGGTTGATAACGATAGTTTACCGCCTTCGAATGGCTACCATGGAAATGGATAACTGTCTAACTTCTGCCACGTAGCGAGTCATTTGACGTCAATCAGCCACGTGCTATTAGTAGGGGATTTAACCTGCATGCAATCGACGTCACTGCTTAGTTTAGCAAACAATTCAAAGCTGATTTGCAAGTAGTAAACGCCAATATACAGCTATACAGCCACGTCATCGCTCTCACGCGATTCAGTAGGGGACATGAACCATCTGTCTTAGACCTTGTGCTCCCAACACAGAATTACTGGTTAGTAACATAGCTACAAATGCACCACTTGGCCGAAACGATCACTCAACGCTGCTCTTCCGTTACATCTGCTACGGTGAACACACCTGTGAAAATAATGGAACCCATCTGGTCACTAATTGTGACAATCTGTCCAATATGTGTCAGGAAAGCAACTAGTCCTTCCTGGCCAAGCTTCCGTCCGATATCACCATGAAGGAATCTGCCACCCAGTACACCGGGCTAGTAGTAAATGCGTCGGAAACCAACGTCACACTTGAAGGAAAAGAAGTCCGGACTCGTATATGCATGGTCACTAGGCATTCAGCCTGGCGTGCTTATAAAGCCCGGTGTGCAGACCTGGGGTGCCTACATGACTCAATGAAACCACTGTGTCAAGTTTGTCCATATAGATAAACTCTAGCACCAAGAAGACACAGGACCGAACTTCAGTAATAATTCTAATATGCTGTATAGGCACCTCAACAGGCACCGGAGAGTGCAGCGCGGAATCGAACTTCTACCTACAGTAGATGGTCCGGCAATATCTATAGGAGAAGCAGCAAACGCGTTTCGGCATCACTTCATCCGTGCTTCCCATAGTGAATCGTCATCTCACCCGCTTTTGACACAGCTGATGCTGGCGTCAGGTTTAAACGATGAATTTTTCAAGACATTAAAGGTGGTGAAAAGACTATTTTCCATGTACGTGCACAGCTCTCCTGGCACGGACGATGTGAGACCAAAGGCATGGAGGACAGCTGCCATGAACGTCGCATAACCATTAGCACGATTGTTTCAACAATGTAGTAGTAAAATGCAGATTCCGACCATGTGTAAACATGGAAGAGTCACTCTCGTTTACCAAAGTGAGAATTGCAAAGAGCCTCGAGTTACCGTCTAAGCACTCTCCTCCCTGTGCTATCCAAATTAATGGAACGTATTACCTCAGAGTCGCTCATGAGATGTCTAGAGAGCAACAAAGTTTTAGTGTCATAGCAATACAGATTCCGCTGCTATCGGTACTGCACTCCGAACTTGCTGATAGTCCGACCAAGCTGGGCAGAATCAGTAGTTGTCAGAGTGGAGTTTGACCTCGTCTACTTAGACTACTCGAAGCTGTGTCGACCGCCTGGATCAGTGCATTCTCCTACACAAGCTTCGAACTTATAGAATCGGTGACTCAATTTTGGGCTGGATAAGCACTTACTCGTTTAACCTCGGCTTTGTGAGAGCTCATAGCTCCAATTCCGACGCACCTAAAGTCCAGTGTGGTGTATCTTAAGCATAGCTGCTAGATCCATGTTTTGACTAGTCCTCATCAAGGGTATGACCAGTGTGCTCGGATCGCACATATTACTAGCAGATAATGTCAAAATCTGGCATGGCATGTAGTCAGAAGACGATCAAGCGGCACTGAAGAGATCTCGACAGGGCCTATATGTGGTCACCCAAAAGCCGACTACAGTTTAACATGGCGAATTACAGTTGTGAGCGTACATCAGCGTACCTATAAATATCAACTTGAGCTCAGCAGTTGCAAGGTGCTTTAAAACAAATTGACTT